CACAATCTTCTAAAATATAAATACAACGTTAATCGCAATCTTCAGTCTTCTTGAACCCTGTTCCATCATTGTCTTTTCCTCCTTTCTCCTTACTCATTCTCATTTCAGTCCCTGTAACCCTCTGTGTCCTAGTTGTTTTATCGCCTTGCTTGGGGTGAAATGGTTAGAAAAACAAAATCAATTATTCCACCATTACCAGTCGTCGCAAAAATGTAAAATTAATTTACACCCACGGTGTTATAAGTTGATTGCACGGTTAATAAAAATACTTTTTCTGCAATGTTATATGAAGTTGTTTTAAAAACGATTTTTTGTAGATTCTGAAGAAGTGCCCAGAACTTTGCCTCGTAACGTTGTCAATACGTTACCTTGTAATTGTGTCATTACGTTACATCATAAATACGTTCAATATGTTACATTAACAGAAAAGGGATATAAATTCGGTGATGATATGAGAACGTGAATTGATCTAAAGTAGTTCCTGTCATTAAAAAGAAGTGGGAAAAAGTAATTTCTTAATTTCTTTTGTTGCATAGCCCCTTGGTGGGGGTAGTCTTAGCTTGTTTCGTCTTGGTCGGCGAACACTAGTTGTTTTAGTTTAGAGATGAAAGGACGTCAAACACAGATAATTTAACTTATGTAGTTTTATTATTCCCGTCGTCGTGTACATTCTCGATCTATCCAGCATGGGGAGCCGTTTCAGACACAAAAGTGAACACGTTTACATTGCTTGACGTGTAAGAGCCAACTCGCTTAAAGGCCTTAACTTTATCTATCATTTCACCTCTAGCTCAGCCAATCAAAATCGACTCCTTTATTATGGCTTCCATCTGACCTCGAAGGTCAACTTCTGGAAGTCGCAGACAAGATATACTTCTACTAAAAAAAATAGTAGTCTGGCAAAGTATTATTTAACATGACTTACCTAAAGATTAGAAAGATTCATTTATGGATTTTATTTCAACTATAAAATACCGTCTATTTTACAAGGCGTTCATTGTACATGTTCTCTTCATTGGGCATCAGTCACATGACCCCTCCGGCATGCACATGTACAAGGCCGAATATATGGTGCATCTAGTGAGAATCGAACGCACTAATCAGTCGTAAGTGTTCCAGCGAGACAAGATTACTAACCATTACACAACGCCGGTGAGTGCAGGATATACCGGGGATTTGATTCGAGACTTACTAGCGTGCTAACCAATTCCCTGTCTTTCAGTAGTGTATTCTCTTTTACAATAAACCTCTCTTTCTTTCATATACGCCTGTGTTGTTGTTTCTTTCACTCGAGTACCACCTTTATCTGTTTGTAACTTTCTTTAATAATACAACACTTGCCATTTTCAATTGAGACAACACGAAATGTGCATAGAATTCACAGAAAAAAATACTGGTTTAAAAATTACACAATACATGCCAAAAGCCCACGCCACAGCGTCAAGCAATTCAATAACTGAGTGATGTCCTTGTCCCCAAATTTTACGCTTTAAATATACCATGATCCACACCCATTACCTATTCACAGTGACACTGCACATACGGGCAATTATCATCCTATTTATTCAACCACAGCTAATTAATTACTTTGCTTATTACCAGATTTACTTGAATAAATCTTCACTAATTTACCGCCATTAATTTTCTCTAATCAAGCTGATTATTTATTCTATAATCACTATTATTATTATTTTCTATAATCACTATTATTAATTTATCGCCATTAATTTTCTATAATCACTATTAATTTCTTATAATCACTATTATTATTATTATTATTATTATTATTATTATTATTATTATTATCAATCTGTCTCTGTGGATTAAAACTCAACTCGCATCATCTCAACTCCTTCTGTCCTTGGCTGCGCCTACAGGGAAAATAACCACACCCGCTCATCACCTCCTAACTAATCCATTACTGGCTTTACCTAGAAGGAATCAGAGAGTTTAGAGGCGCACTTTATATAAATTTCGTAAAAATATGTTATAATGAAGTCAAATATTGCAGAAAAAAAATAATGCAATATAAAAATAAATAAAATGAAACACACCTTAAGTTTATTCTTCCTTGTCTTTGTGAGAAACATAAGTCTGATGAGTGTTAACGATATTTTTTTAAAGTTTGGGCGTAGATTTGATAGGCAAACTCTCATTTCCTCCTCAATACATTGAAGAGTTCCTCTCTTTTTGCATTTAATTGTGGAGAAATCAGAAAATCCTAATTTACATAAATATGAAGGAGACTGGTACTGCAATATAATAAAGTATATTTATTTCTTATATCTGGATCCATATTTCTCTGGAATGCCAGGCCGCATTTAAAGATCTTCCAGGTCGTAGAAGTGCGCCCAGGCGTACAATTTGAGAACCACTGGATTAGAGAGAAAATATAGAATCAGGAACATTAAAACAATATTTGATTTTAACCTCCAAATTTTAAGGTTTAATTTATTCTCCCGTCTATAATTTTGTGTCTCTATACGTGTTGTAGATTCTTGGAACACCCAAAGAATTTCATCATATAAGTTAATAGCAACTGTTTCTTCGTTTTGCGCTATTTCGGTTACTGAATTTTTTCATAGGAACGCGTATTCAGTTGCATTTAGAGAAAAGTTGGTTATGTCGGTGTGTTAGCCGGGTAAAAAAAAAAAAAAAAAAAAACAAAAAAAAAAAGAATGGGTGTGAGGTTGGAGCGCAAAGCAGAAAGGGTCACAGGATGCGATCGCTAATCAGGCGAATTTCGGGAAGTCACCTGACTGGACTCTAACGATGGTAAGGGGTAGGGAATTTGGGAGCTGCTGAGTTTGGACGCCTTGGTCGAAGTCGAGGGGAAGGGTCGATCTTCCTGGCCAGAACGTCAACATTGATTAGGCAAAGGTTTAATAACGGTCGGTTCGTGGAAGCAAACAACGGGGGCACGCTATTGCTTGTTATATTTTACGAAGCTTAGCTTGACACAGGGTCACAAAGAGTAGGATGGTGCGTTAAATTGGGTGAAGGAAGATTAGTCTGTACCATTTCCCCAAGTAGGACGAGTCTGCTTGTTCTCAAATCAAATTTGTGCATGTTTTCCAAAGGAGAATGAATTCTCTGCAGCTTTAGAAATGGTAATAGCCTATTCCTTATAAAGAAACGTTCGCTAGTATCTGTCTATATTTCTGAGATGAGGTATTATGTACACTATTTACATTATTCGGACTATTGTCCTCATCTTTGTTGCCATGTTTATTACAACGTTTCGGCCGTTGTACGCTTCGGACTTCTTCAGGTGGTTGGAATGTCGAACTGAATTTCGCTCACTGCGGTAGACTGTTCTAGTTCCAGGTGCCATGTTTAGTATCTATCTATATTTCTGAGATGATGTATTATGTACACTATTTACATTATTCGGACTATTTTCCTCAAATTTGTTACCATATTTATCACAACGTTTCGGTCCTTCAGTATCTGTCTATATTTCTAAGATGAGGTATTATGTACACAATTTACATTATTCGGACTATTTTCCTCATCTTTGTTGCCATATTTATCACAAAGTTTCGGCCCTTCAGTATCTGTCTATATTTCTAAGATGAGGTATTATGTACACTATTTACATTATTCGGACTGTTGTCCTCAAATTTGTACCATATTTATCACAACGTTTCGGTTTCAGTATCTATTATTTCTGAGATGAGGTATTATGTACACTGTTTACATTATTCGGACTATTGTCCTCATCTTTGTCGCCATATTTATTACAAAGTTTCCGGCCTTCTTCAGGTGGTTGGAATGTCGAACTGAATCGTTTATTTCACTCACTGGGGTAGACTGTTCTAGTTCCACGTGCCATGTCTTAATGGATGTCAGTTATCAGTTTTCTCCTATTAATTCCCCTCTCCAATTTCTCCCCTGCCTTAACCGAGTATTGAACTCACACACTTTGGGACCTGTCATGGACACATGGCACAGTGGATAAAAGCGTTGGTTAGATACAACGACCGAAACGTTGTAATAAATATGGCGACATAGATGAGAACAAAAGTCAGAATAATGTAAATAGTGTTTCTTAGAAAATGTTTCTGAATTACTTACTCTCTTATTTTTAAATTTTATCACAACGTTTCGGTCCTTCATTACACAAGGCACAGTGGATAAAAGTTGTTAGTTAGATCCAGTGGCAGGAATCAAAGTGTGTGAATTCAATACCCGGTTAAGGCAGTGGAGAACTTTCAGAGGAAAATTAATAGGAGATAACTGATAACTGACATCCATTAAACATGGCACGTGGAACTAGAACACTCTACCCCAGTGAGCGAAAAAAAGGCTTCAGTTTGACATTCCAACTACCTGAAGAAGGCCGGAGCAAACAACGGCCGAAACGTTGTAATAAATATGGCGACAAAGATGAGAACAATAGGTCGAATAATGTAAATAATAAACATTCCCTATTTTTTGACCGAGCAATCAGTGCTTCTGCTGGTTGAAATTTATATTGATTCTTTCATTTTCTAAGGTTTATCAACACTTTGCTTGTTATTTAAAGCCAGAAAATATTTTTACATTGTAAGAATGCTTTTTGGAGATGTTAATGGCACAGTGGCGTAATGGATAGTAGCTCGGAATGAGGAATCGGAGAGCCGAGTTCGAATTCCAGTCTTGCTAATACCCATGCGAAAGGTATGAATCCTCCTCTTCTCCCCCAGATGTGGGTAAATAGCAGGACAGACTGGGCTTTATAGCCTTGGATGGCAACTAGTCTAAATGGCAACTTACTGCGGGAAAAATATCTACCTCGTCAGTCATGTATCGAAAGATACATGATCGCCTATGCGTGTATCATGCATGGCACATAACTGACTGAATGGTTTAGTGATACAGGTCTTACCCAGTTGGTGAAGTAAGAAGTGAATCCATACAATTACCAAGTGAATATAATGAACCCAACGGGAATTGGAACACAGCTCTCCGATTAAAAATCCCCTGGCATTATCCATTATACCATTTGCACATCCAAGATTACAGCAGCTGGTATTCCCAAGCGCTCATCCATTTAGGTACTGACCAGGCTTGATATTGCTTAACTTCGGTGATCTTACGGGAACCGATGGAAATTTTGTAAAATATTTCTATATGAAAACCAAGTTTCAGGAAAAAAAACAGGTGTTGCTTACATTTTTTTAATAAAAATATTTTTGTATTTTTACGTTTTAAAAATGCGTGTCGATAATCATACGCTCCAGAACAATCATTTAAAAATGTTATTGTTGAATTGTTAGGTTTCTTTTTTCATAATAAATATTCTGTAAAAACGCCTGATAATTACGCACCAACGCCACACACACACACACACACACACACACACACACACACATATATATATATATATATATATATATATATATATATATATATATATATATCAATTATGTGGTGCAGTTCAATTTATATTACAATGACTCTAATGGGTTACAGGAGACGCTTACAAATCATCATTCCCAACACGCCCCCCCCTATATATATATATATATATATATATATCAAATATGTTCAATTTATATTACAATGACTCTAATGGGTTACAGGAGACGGACACAAATCATCATTCCCAAAACAAATTAGGATATTTATCATGGGAACAGCAAGTTTTTATTATATTCGAAAAATATTTTAGCCCACAGGAAACTTTCCAAGTTGGCTCCTGCGTGAATACTCCAAATTTAAAAACAATAGAACTTATGACTATATCTATCCAACTCAAATGTAAATTGATGAGATATCGACTCCAGTCTAATACTGCGCTTAATTTAATAATTACCTAGCAATGTGAATATTATCTCGTAGTAGGAAATTAATCATGTTTGAAAATGATTTCATGAGAAAAGTTAAATTAAAAAATAAAAATACTTAAAAAATGAATATTAAAACAAAGTTTTTAAAATAACTTTATCGATGAATCGTGATGAACATCATTTGAAAATAAAGTTATAAATAAATATATAAATACACACATAAAAATGAATAAATACATTTATTAATTTATTCAAATAATAACGCTGTACCATTATTACTAACACACTCACGCACCCCCCCCCACAGATATATATATATATATATATATATATATATATATATATATATAAAAGTGAACATTGAAGTCAAGACTCAGAGGCGATAGGCTGTTTCATGCTAGGCGCAATCGCGGCCCGACGATTGCATCTAGTTTAAAACAGCCTGTAGCCTCTGAGTGCTGACTTCAATGTTCACTTTTATTTTATATTTACATACGCTCTATCTCTGATATTGAGCACTTTATCCCGTAAATATAGCACATCTTAAAACTAAATTTCTTCATTCATATATATATATATATATATATATATATATATATATATATTATTATAGGTGCGGTTTAATTTATAATTACATGAATCGTTCATACAAAAATCAAATATAGAGGTTAATGATTTAAATGGCGAGAATACATCTTCGCAAACAATTTCAATACGGTACACTAACCCCGAACCTGTATATGAATGATATGATCCCTGTTTATAAATTCCAATTTCATAAGGTCTTTTTTAGTTTTTACAAGCTTTCGTCTGTTCCGACAGACATCCTCAGGTATGGAAATAGATTTTGTTCTTGTTTTTTATTTCTCGGTAATAAGAGAAGTAAGAAACAAGAACAAATTAGGAGATTTTGAGGAGCGTGGAACCAACTATTAATTACTGGTGTTCCCAGATTCACCCTCACCCGGTGTGGTAGCACCTGTTAGGATCCCGTCTATAGGCAAATATTTAAACCCCCTAAACTGGCGTCAAAACACTATGAACGTGTAAAAATAGGTTTGAATACCAGCAATACATTTTTGAAAAAAATATTACCAGCAGTACATTTTCGAAAAAGGAAAATATTACCAGCAATATATTTTTGGAAAAAAAATTACCGGCAAAAATCTTGTCGACATTAAATCACAAATTGATGATGGTGTCACATAACCAAACCAAAAGAAACAAAAAAAAAGTTTAGTTAAGCATCTGTGTGAATGAATTTCTGGAGAAAGTATTTAGTTAGTACATGGTAATGATTCCTGGTTTTGTCCACTGAAAAAAAAAAGAAGGATAGCATTGTCTGCTTCTGTTGTGACTGTAGCAATCTTCCTTGCATCAGGGGGAGTAGCCTGATAGTTTCACCATGGATGTACTGAGAAACAATTTGCAATTTATAATATGAGTAGTTATTATTATTATTATTATTATTATTATGATTATTATTAATTTTATTATTAAAATTATTATTATTATTTTTTTATTATTATTATTATTTATTATTATGATTATTTATTATTATTATTATTATTATTATTATTTATTATTATGATTATTATTTTATTATTATTATTATTTTTATTATTATTATTATGATTATTTTTATTATTAATTTAATATTTTTATTATTATTATTATGATTATTATTTTTATTTTCTTTGATTTCTGGCATTTACACATTTCTTTCTGGGTCCCGCCCAGGGACCTAAGGTTAGAAATGGCGTCATGACACTTTCCAATGACAAAAAAAAGAATTATGATTATTATTATTTATTATTATTATTATTATTATATCATTATTATTATTTTATTATTATTATTTTTATTTTCTTTGATTTCTGGCATTTACACATTTCTTTCTGGGTCCCGCCCAGGGACCTAAGGTTAGAAATGGCGTCATGACACTTTCCAATGACAAAAAAAAAAAAAAAAATTATTAAAGTACATATTATAATTATTATTTTTCGTAAGGTGTTTTACATTTTATTTCTGGAACAATTTTTGTATCTCGTTGAGGCCTCTAAAATGGACTTTATTAGAAATTTTAATTAGTCTTATTATGCAATATTTTATTTTATTAGTCCTATTTTTTTTCTTTGATTTCTGGCATTTATTATTATTATTATTATTTAAAGTATTTGCCTTGGACAAATGTCCTCATCATTGTTGTTGTTATCACAATGTTTGGACGTTATGAACTCTGGCCTTTTCAGAAGTCTATCGATCTAGATAACATTCATATATTTTCTAACTGAGCAATAGCTTAACATCTATTCGATCTCAAAATCTTAAATAATGATAATACATCAACCGAGAAATTCAGTCGAAATTAGATATCATAAATTCATTTTAACTTTTAACTTTTTATTTAAAAAAAAAGAGAATTCAAACGGATTTCCTTCTTACGAATGGCTGGACGCTAAAAAAAAATGATTATTATTATTATTATTAAAATTATTAGCAATTGGATTATTTTTTATTTTCCATTGGAATTTTTTGTTAAAGAATATTTAAAATTAGAAAACAACATGACAAAAAAAATCAAATTTTAAATTTTTAATTATTATTGTTTTATTTTTTTTATATCTTTAAGATATTTTTTCAGGTTAAAATGATTTTAAATAGCGTCATGACATTTTCTACAAAAATATTAATTAATCTTTGTTTTTCATTTTTATTAATTAAAATTAGAAACTGAAAAATACCTTTGATTTCAGAATTCCCAAAATCAATTTGGATTTCAAAAAATTCTTGAAAAATTCTTGTTCATTTGGAATTATCTTTTCATTAAATTAAATTAATTATTTTAAAATAGAAAGAAAAACAAAAAAAGAAATTTTTAAAAGAAATTATTTTATGTTAAATTTTAAAGTCCAAAAAAAAAATTTATAGATTGAGATTTGCAAACAAAATTCTGTTGAAATATTTAGAATAAAAAAAATATATATAAGGATTTTATCAGGAATTATATCAATTATTTTTATTATTACATGTTTAAAAATTTAATTCCAATCAAAAATAATCAAAAAATTATTATTATTTTATTGTTATTATTATTAACTATTATATCAAATTATTTTTATAAAACATGGGTATAAACATTTCTTTTATCAAATAATTAGTGTTATGTCATGTTTTTTGTAAAAGTTTTGCTTTATCCTATTTCATAATTTGATGAAAATTTTGTTATTTTATTTTATATAATGAATAATCTTTTTCTGATTTAAAATTTTTTAAAATTCCGATGATTTTCAATGAATTTAATTCTATCTTATTATAATTATTATATTAAAAAATCAAAAAATTTTTACTTTTGATTTTCTTTGAACTTCCAGAACATTTTTAAGACAAAATATTGAATGTCTGGTTTTATGTTTTTATTATATTGTTTATTAATTATTATATATATATAATGAATTTTTCATTATTTGCATACCAGTATTTCCAATTTCATCAATTGAAAAATATAACACGGAAGGTAAAAATTCAGAAAAAAAAGTGAAAAAAATTGAAAAATAATTATTATTTTTATTCATTTTATTATTAAAATATTCATTTCTTTAGGCACGAATTTATTTTTTCTTTATATATAGATACATTATTTATAAAAAAATTGTTTTTATTAATTTTATTATTAAAAAAAATAATTATTTCATCCATTTTTTAATGTTTCAAAACATTGTTTCCATATAATATATTTGTCATTTTTTAATAATCATTTTTAAAAAAAGTTTTATTATTATTATTCTTTGATTTTTTTTTTTTATCCATCATTATTATTAAATTTTTTTGTTAAAAAAATGACTTTATGATTTCCATTTAACTTTCTTCTTTATCCAATAAAAACAAAATTTTCAAACTCTCAATGACAAAAAAAGAAACATGATATGATTTTTATCAAATTAAATTTATATATTATTAACCGTCCATATTATGTGTTTTATTTTCTTCATTTCTACAAATCAATAATTTCTTCCTTGATAAAACTTTTCTATGAATGATTTTCAATGATTTTTCGAAAAATCACTGTAGTTTATTATAAAATTTTAAAAATGGATTAAATTTCTTTCTTTTATTTTAATTTATATATTATGGCAATTTGATTTTCCATTATTTATATTTCATCTTGGGTTATATATATCGTCTTTTTGTTTTTCTTTTTTTCAACAACACATTCATTAAAAAGAGATTACTTAAAAAAAAATTGTTTTAAAAAAACCATTTCAAATAAATATTATTCCCTAATTATTATTATTTTTTATAATTATTTTTTCACAAAA